GAAGGTCCTAATGATTACAGCACACTAGATGTGAGGGTAACTGTATTAAAATCAGTGGAAACATTGACTAGACTAGCCAAAACTCACTTGTTTCATTGGTAGAGCTGTGTCTCCAAGATGGGTGTAGACATTTTTTCTTTATAGCCATGACTGACTTGAAAAAGCCCACCTCATAACTGTAGTCTGTAAGATGTCATCCAGTTCTCCATATCCAACTTATCTGCTGAGCAAGCCTTCATATTTTTTTACTTACTGTCACTTCTGTCAGCATCTTTCTGAATCATTTCTTCTGCAAGCTCTGTGGCTGCAGGACTCATGTTTTGGGAGGTCATGTAGAAAAGACAGCGCTGTTTGCTTTCTGTGTGTAATAGCTCAGCTCAAGGCAATATGACTATCCATGAATATATCAATATTGATACAATTATCCTTAATTGTTCGGGGGGGGGAAGCTGAAAAAAAAAACCTCAAAAAGTTTAAACTTAAGGAAGGAAAAACGTTTTAAAGGCCACAAATTTGTCCTGCTTACCCTCTTATGATTTGAGGGGTTTTGATCGGTATTTTGATTGGTAAATTATATTTACTTGTAATTAGAGAAATCTCAGTAAAAGCATCTGTCTACAGTGCAGAAAGCTGTACTTCTGCTGGCTGTCTACAGGTGTTCAGGGTCCATGAAGAGAAGTTGGCAATACTGAGGTATAATGCAGACTATCCAAAAGCAAGTATCTGAACTAGGCCAGATGAATCACCTCTTAGGAAAGTTCCTCTCCTTTGACTATAAAGAAAGTCTACAGCAATTAGCTCAGCTATGGACATCTCAACTCTAGTTATCCGGAACAGCTGAAATTAGTCTCATCATTGGTGTCAGCAAACTGAAAATAGCTTACGGTAAAACCCAGTTTCTTTTCTACAGCTTGGCTCTGATGTGAAAGTCTGTGCTATCACAAAAAAAATGAATATTAGGGGGTTCCAGGTTGCCCCTCCCTGCCTGTGAGAGGAGACCCTGCCTCTAGACCCATGGTGGGCTCAGGCTTGGAGCAGAGCACCAGAAAGACTCATCACCTCACCAGATCATTAGACTGACTCTGTGATCAAAGGCAATGTGTCATTTATGGATATATTTTTGTTCTATAATGCAACTAATTAATTGACAAAATTTGTGAAGACAAAAGGCGGTGAATTTCCTTCCTGCTCTCTCAGCTGTCCTCAACAACAGGGTGTTATCCAGGACTCAGCCACTATGCTGACACAGCTCCCCAATTTCCTTTCCCCTGCTCCATTTCCTTTTCAAATTGAAAACCATTAGAAGTCTTTAGGCAAATAATAGAAACCTAATGCAGGTGTGTGTTATAAATTGTTCACTAGTTACTTTTAACCTAATGTCTTCTCAAACATTACTTTGCAGAAGGCAGTGAGGGTAGGAAATGACTCATGAACTCTGACGATCACTGGTTCAAGAGTTAAGGTCGTAATAATGTAGCCCATTTCTCCTTGTTCGTCAAATAACCTGAGCACAGTTAGATCCCTGGATCTTTCATCTGAGATTGACTCCCCTCAGTAAGAACATGGGTCCTGCAGAGAGCAATCTTGGTCTAGGGTCATAGCCTTCTGTACAACACTAAGTAGGGAAGGTGCCATATGGCTGGTGGTGCCAGCTACTGCTAGTGTAGGGTTTACCCACTCACAAAGCTGTAGCTTTCCTGGCATGATTTGATTTTGTGCACAGTCTAGATCTGCTATAAGTCTGAGGTTAAATCAATCAATGTTTAGGGGGTAGCTTTACTTTCGTAAATAGAAATGACTTGAGAAATTTGAAGTATTCTGCAGGCAAAATAAAATAGGAAGTAAACATTAATAACAAGAGTTAGTAATTACCGGGTTTAACGCAAAATAGACAAATGTACAGAAGTGCCTATTAATTCTGAATCACTGAAGCAAGTATCTAGGCTCCAGAGTTGGAAATGCTGCCTAAAATGTCAATGTGATTACTCAATGCTAAAATTCGCCTTCATCAGCTAGGGATCACGTGTCTTATTCTCAGAGAAAAATTCCTCCCATGCTCACTGGAAATAATATCAAGTAGTTCACAGGGGATAAACCTCCAACTCTGTGTATGTACAAAACAAGGCATGCTAGAGGACAATCTGTTAGCATAGATGCTCCTGAACACGTCGGGCAACTGTCAGGTTGTTGGAAGTATTTCTCATAATTCTGGGTGCCCTCACAGGCAGCATTGAATGGTGCTATGTTGGTCACAGATCACTTTCCCCATTTGGCTCCCCAGTGAGGTGTAAATATTTCAGAGCTAATGCATAAGTCATGCACACCTGTGTTTCTCAGTGCCATAGTAGTGAGACATAACTCTTGGGTATTTCTGAGCACAGAGGAACATGGATTATTTTCTGACATTGTAAATGGAAAATACATGGAGATTTTTAATGTTTAACAGTCAGATTGCTTCTGCAAATTCTTGGAAACCGTTGCCTCCAGCCCCAGGCAACATTTAAGTGATGTTCTGCAAACAACTGCACTTTGCCAGGACTGGCAGACTCCTCAGGCTGTGTCCACACATGACTACCTACTGGGGCCCCATATCACTGAGAGCTAACATATGGAGTTAATTCACTCAAAAATGAACACCCTAAGCACACTGGCTATTGCTGTGCAGGTGGACATTGTGATAGCAAACAACATCAGAGGGTTTCATTTTATTGCTGCATTAAATAGGCGTTGGATGCTTTTCTGTTTCATTTGTAGCTAAGTCCAGATCTTATAGAAAATCCTGTGTGCATTCATCCAATTACCCTCAGATGAGAAGAGAAAAAGAGTTAAGTTTATTTATGGATAAAATGTCTGAAATAATAAAAGACATAACACTGTGTACTGGACTGATTGGGAGGGGTGAAGAAGGTATGGCTCCCGGAGAGCAGAAGAGCAGGAGGGCTTCCCCAGATGGTTTGCTTTATATTTGCAGAGCCTGGTGCTTTGACTGAGAGGTGAAGGGGGAGAGGAGGAGGCACACCAGGGGAACGCTAATGTAAGGAGAAGGAAGCAGTTGGTCTCACTGCCCTGAGAAGGATATTGACCGAGGTCCTCAGTGGTAGGCAGAGAGGCTCACGGGTTTCTGTACAAGGGAATTGCCTCCTGGTGTACTCCTGCTGCACTGAGGAAAATAAGACTCTGTCTATGTTGGCAAACAAGTAAAATAGAAAAAAAAATAGCTGATTCTTTTTGTGAACCTTCCAACCAGCAAAATACTATATACTGTTCAGGAAAGTATACATTACTTTTTTGAGATGCTGAGTGGGACTCAAATGCCTCTGTGGTAGGCAGTGCCTTGTGAAATGTTTGATGTTAGTCCACGAGAAAGACACAGTTAACTAATCGGACATGCATCAATCTAAGATAACCTCTTTTTTTCTCATTAAAGCAGTGACCCTAAAGCAAAGCAATTTTAATGTACAGAGTATAGACACTTTTCTTTGTAGGGAAAGTACATTTGTCATTTGTCCAACTCAACTCATACATAGTAACAAAACAAGTAAACACAAAGTCTTTGTAACTCCATTTCTCCTCTGTATCTTTCCCATGTGCTCCCATCTCCACTGCTTGGGGTTTAAGATTTCCAGCTCTTCTTTTTTATTTTTTTTTCTAATAGATACTCCCAAACACTTTTTTAGGGCCACATTTACAGTAAAAAATAGAGATTGAACTTTCAACACAGGCATACAGTGCTGTGTACTTCATCACCAAGACTTACAACAACTTCTCTATGAGACTCTTGCAACCAGGGGGTCAGATGTGATTAACTGAATTTTTCACAATAGTTATACCTCCCCTACAAATGTCACAATGCTGCAATTCCACAATACTACTAAACTGATGTCGTTCTTATCCTGATATAGGTGTGAAATAATTTTGGTATCTCTTGCAATTATATACATTAAGCATGACAACAGTGCTATCCCATGTCATCCACTACTAGTCCCAGTGCTGTGTGGAGATTATGAAGTACTGTTGACCACATTTACTAAGTGGGGAATCATTGGCTGCACCAGTTCATTATGTTTAAAATATAATTTCCTTCTCTATTCAGCTTTTTTCTTATATAGCATCAATGGATTTTACAAGAGAACATGGCCCCAGCTATGGTGCTGCTAACCCAAAAACTCACTGTAGTTTTTCATTTTTTCTGCTAATCCAATAGGCTTCATCATAAGAAAAAATAATATTGGCAACTCTGTAAAATAATTCCTAAAGCTTTTCTAAAATTGAAGTAACATCATAGAAAAGTCTGTAAGCATTTTGCCACTGACTCCAATGAAATTAGGATTTAATCCTAGAAAGTGTCTATCTGGACTAAAAAAGGCACATCTTTCAATTGCCATCACCATTATCCGAAGAGGCAACAGAGGAACAAAGCTGATCCCAGTAATGAATGCTCCATCCCTGAGACCACAGTGAAAAGGGCACCAATATAGCTGCTCTCAGAGAAACTAAAAGTAAACTGGACTGGAAGTCAGATCTGGTTTTTTTTCTTGGCATTTTTTAAAGACCAGCTCCAGAAATGTTACTTGCATTTTATTTACTACTTATAGTGCAACAGCAATGAAACCTAACATTACAGGGAGTGTGTGTTCCCACTAGAAAATGTCTTCAACAGTTCATAAAAACCTGGCCATTTATCAGCACTGCAGGAGATCTTTATTACCTCCCTACAGCATATGCTCTCCTATGATGTAGTTATTGATTTAACAAGTAAACTTCGTGGTGAGCTTTTATCTTGGAATTAGCAGCAAGATTGAAATAGAGCCCTTATTATTCTAATAACACAGAGATGTGAGATTCCCGCATATTCCAGAGGCCGTATCATCACCTTAACAAGCATCCTATTAGGGCTGCCTGGCTGCCACATCAAAACGTGGGCTGTGAGAACTTTAACAATCATGATATCATACTCACCCCTGGCAACTTTCACAACCTTTTTGTTTTTCTTCCTACAGGTTTGGACATCAGGCAAGCTCAGGTTATTGTGCTGTCATCGGGTACCAAATGTATAAATGGGGAATACATTAACGACCAAGGGCTTGCGGTCAATGACTGCCATGCAGAAATTTTGGCAAGAAGGGCATTTGTTCACTTCCTCTACTCACAGCTGGAGCTGCACTTAAGGTAACTGAATTCTGTTGTTTTTTGGGGACTGTTATATGGCCTTCAGAGGCACAGATCGATCTGTCCTCCAGACAATTGAACTATTTGTTTCTATATGTCATTGTTTCTGAGTCTTTAGGTGATGAAGGACCAATACACTGCACAGAAAAACAAATGAGAGTTAGATAGTCTAAAGCTCCTTAACTTCAGCTGATTTTCTTTCAGTAGCGATTAGACATGACTCATAAAGTACGGCTTTATGAAGCCTGATGATTCTGTACAAATCTTTATGTGCAGACTTATTAGCATCATTCACTGGCCAGAGACTGGAAGGGGTCATTTTGCTCACTGCAGCCATTTCCCCATCTTCCTTGCTACTTCTGAAAGATCTCAAGGAAGTGATTTATTGATCATTAATACCTTCATTGACTCACTAGAGAACCGATGAGTGTTAACAGCACAGTAAACTTTGTGCCAAAGTGTAAGATGCTATCACTCACTCCTTCTTTATGATGTCTTAAAATGTTATAGCATGTAGAACCATTACAGTGGAATTATTGATACTCTCTTCAGCCAAATCCACCTGGTAACCATTTAAATGGTTAACAGGTCATACACAGCCTAGAAGATGATAATAAGTGGGGTACTGCAGAAGTCTGTGTTGGTACCTCGCTGATCATGTCTACAAAAAATCTGTAAAAGGTCATGTAGTGCTTGTTTTTAAGCTTTGTAGAGGACACTAAAATGTGCAGGGGACCAGCCAATATTCTTGAGGGCTAATCTGTCATCCAGGCAAACTGGAGGACTGGACCAGTAGGAACTTTGCATTTGTCCTTGTTGAGTTTTCTGTCAAATTCTCACACCAAGGAGGAAAGAATGACCTGCGACAATACAGGCTGGGGAGCAGCTCTGCTGAAAAGAGATAGGGTTCATAGAAAGATGGATGTCAAAGAGTATTGTGCCTGGCAGAAGAGAGGGTCAACAGGATCCCTGGAAGTACGAAGAGTCAGACAAGGGATGTGATCCTCCACCACTAATCAGCACTCATTAGACTACATCTACAATACTATGTGCAGTTTTGGGTCACCCAGTAAAGAAAAGACATCAGCCATCTTACATGGGCTCAGCGAGGGCTGTCCAGATGCTCAGGAGCCAGAGCACTTGGGCTGCATGGAAGGGCTGATGGATCTGGACCTGTTCAGCCTGGAGGTGGGATGGCAGACCCAGCAGAACATATGTCAGCAACACAACAGAGCTGACATCTTTACCGAGGTGTGCAGTGGGAAGGTGACAGACAAGAGGCACACACTAAAACAAGAGAAGCTCAGTCTGAGTATGAAGATTAATTTTCCCCATGGGAATAGGCAAACAGTGGGACAGGTCAATCAGCAGGACTGTGCAGCCTCCCTCCTGTCTTGGACATTTTCAAAACCTGAGTGGATAAAGCCTTGAGCAACCTGTCAAACTATTTTGAGAAGGAGGTTGGGCTAGAGGCCTAAGGTCCTTACCAGCCTGAATTATCCTATGATCCTATGGAAACTGAGCAGAAGTGAAGCTGAGGTGGCAGTTATTATATGGAAGGAACCAAGGAATGAAGGAAGCGAGGAAAGAAAGCAAACAAAAAAACCCCTTCTCTATAGGTCATTCTTCTGCCCTCCATTCTTGTGTGTAAATTCATGTGACTTTTTCTGAAGGCCATTAACCTCAGTGTAAAAACTTCCTTTGACTCCAGAAGGTTTTGCATCAGGTCACAGACACAAGGATTAATCTAAACAGGATTTTGTGTTCTTGTAAGCACTTGTGATACTATTGCACTGAAGCAACAATAATAGGAATAATGGTTATTTTCACTTCAGGCTGGAGTGGAAGGCAAGAGAGTATATTGAGTACATGAGTTTGGCTAACAAAGAGGGACAAGAGCATTGAAGGGTTTAATCAAAAATAATATTTTCTCTATTTCTGAATTGCTTTCTAGTTTACATTAAATTATTATGTTTTCAGCAGTGTAGCAGCCCTAGTACTTGCTTTGTGCTATGGTCTCTTGGGAAACAAGTGCTAACATTGTATCTTAAACTTGTATTGATCCACGTCCTTAACGTGTTCAGTCATATTATTATTTTATTTGGATCAATGTTAACAGTCTTTTGTTAAGAGAATCCTCAGTGCAGCAAAAGCTCTGTTCACAATAACTTCAAATTGCTCTCTGTTGAGCCAAGACCAGGCACCACTGCTGCCCTGACCAGCACACACAATAAAAATCTCAACCAAAATTGTCAAGGCTAAGCACCTTTGAAAGACAGAGCTGGAGATACTGTCAAATCAGATTTTGCTTCCTTAAAGTCCATGGGGAAGCAAAACTGTGTGTTATGATATACTCTATGATTCTGTGATTCAATTCTAATATTTATTGCTACATGCCATCATTGGTAGCTTCATCATATGATGAGAAAATGGGGTATTTCAAAATTAAATAAAAAATGCATTTTCTGCATATTGAAGTCACATTTACCCCTTTTTCTCTAGAAAAAGACATCTCCGATTGCCAGAGAAAACACCTGGTGCTCCTGTATAGCTGAAAGAACAGGCTTTTTAGGACAAACATGTTACCTCAGCTCCACTGGGACTCCCTGCACACCACTTCAGGCTTGGAGGAAACACAAATATGGCTTCTGCATTGCAATGCATTTGCAGTAACCTAGCCCAAATAAAAGTCCTCTCCCAGGCCAGGAACCTGTTGTACAAAGTCATATATGAACTGAGATAAAAAGATGGTTCCCTAACCCAAACAGACAATGAAAGTATTGTTCTTGACCCAAAGAGCTTGAATTTTCCACCACTCACTATGAAAAAGGCAAGTTTGTTCTGTGGAGATTATTTCCTATTTTCCACACAACTGCCTCCCACCAAGCCTAACTACTCTAACTGGTCTCTGCAACTGGATTTCAAACTTCAGGAACTTCCAGTGCAAGAGTTATTTTTCTATATTATGCTGTCTTTGAAAAGGATCCTCTTTTCCAGAATTTAAAATACTACCATTGATCTCATTGAAAGCAAAACACCTACTTGTCTGAGTGCAACATGAAGGCTTCTAAGAGCAGTGACAAGCAGGTTGGAGAAAGCAAGAGCCAGGATATAAAACTAATGGCCAGGAGACACAGATTCACTGAATTAAATTTACTTCTTGGCAGTCGAATATGACCCTGATCCTCAAGGATCCTTTTATCACCAGTGGGGAGAAATTGGCATCTGTGAGGTGGGACTATCATGTACCTATACTACATAAGTATCTGTTGTGGGGGATATTAATTGCCATGTACTGGGGCAATTTTTTTTCCATTTCTATAAAGAGAGAATAAGGTAACATCTTCACATATTTAAGCTGCAGAACAATTCCATTTACAAGCCAAAGTTTCAGCAATATATAAATTATTTTTTCCCCTTCTCTCCTTATTGCTAAATGTTAGAGGTGTGGCTTTCCTGACTTTTTTGGGGAAAGAGTTCCAGAATGGGAACTTTATCCTCTCTAAGAAGCAAGAGCAACAAATACTTCAAAAGGAAACTTTCTTTCAACAATTCATTGTCTAAAGCTTGAGTTAAATAAAAGCTAAAAGCACGACTAAAACCTGACAGCTTCTAACCTGTCTGATTAAAACTCTTAGCCCTCCCAGATTTCATTTTTATGACAACCATAATCCTCCAGTTCTCAAGATTTTCACGAAAGAGATGAGAAGTAAGACGTAAATTTTCTGATGTACAAAAGAAGGACAAGAAAGACCTTTTGAGAAGTTTTTTTCTAAAAATCACCATCAAAAAGCACACAAATACCACAGTCCAATTCTCTTGCAATGATGGTAGGAAAATTCACATTGATCTCAGTGGCATTATTTATACCAGCTGGCCAATAGGGAAGAAAAGAAAATCCAACTCTTATTTTTTAAAGAAAAATAAAATTAATGGACTATTCTTAAAATAAATCAGCACCACAGTAAGCGTGCTGCTGCAGTGGCCCTGCAGGTGCTAGAGAGATGATTTTACCAGAAAGTAAACTGTTCCAGCAAGTCAGACACAAACCACTATTTATTTTATAGATAAAAAGCAAAGAATAGTCTTAATCCAGTAGAGTTCAGGGTTTTTTTCCCAGGAAAACCAGATGCTTGTTATAAATCTAGTATTTCTTCATGAACACAGCTCCTTCCTTTTAAATCTGCTGTTAGTTTCTCTAGGATGATGTGTCATAGTATGTAGTACCAGAAACTTCCCATACATACATTTACATGCTAAAAACAGGTCCTCTGCTTCTTAGACCTTGTTTCACCAAAATGCTTCATGTATATTAAACCGTGAGTATGTGCTTAAGTATCTTCTTGAAGTCAGCTCAAAACATAGATGTGTTATGCTAAATAATGGACTTTAGCAGAAGATTAGAATTTCACACATTCTTAAATGTTCCTCTTGAAGCAGCCTCAAATCCTAACTCTCCCACAGGAATTCATAACAGGCAAAGGTTTAGGGACAAATTCTCCTCTTTTAGTAACTGCCAGCATGCAAAAATGACACTTTAATGCCACCCTCTGAATGAGTGGAATCTGTGGGCTCGCTGTGGGCTTCTTTCTCCCTTGGTTTGTGCAGGTGTGTATGGCTGTGAGAAGGGCATTGCAAAGAACAGCTACTGCAAAGTCATCTGCCCCCTCACAGCTCAAAACATCTATCCCAGAGGGAAGGCAGAAGTGTACCGGTGCTGGAGTAGAAGTCACTTTGCAGAAGCACATCTCATGCTTCACCTGGACAATTTTCACAAGATCCCTGAGTCCCCCTGGGCTTTGAAATACCCTGAACATCCCATCCACAAGAATCTTTGCTAAGCCATGGCAGATGGCTTTGCAACACAAACATTTACAACAGCGCTCTCAGAGTTTTGTTATTAAACCTGTTCAGCCACAGTGCAGGAATGAATCTCATGTTTGAGTTCAGCTCCCAGAAAACCATCCCGAAGGCAGGTCAGGACCATATGTGATACAAAGAATCTCGGCCTCCTGGAGGAAAGAGTCCTCCAGCCCTGCCATCTATTTTTAGAGCAGCTGTCTATCACCCAACCTGTCAGCCACAATGGCCGCAGACCCTTCTTGGTACTCAGGGAGAGGTAAGAGAGCAAGGTTAATCAGTGAAAAACAATAACCAGTGAAAACAGAATGGGAGCTGATCACTAAACTCCTGAAATCCAGCCCAAAGCATGACTGCTCCAACCTTACATAGCAACTGTCTCTAAGTAATGCAAGCTGATTCTGCTGAGGTTTAACATAATAGTAGCAGGCATTTGGACGGCACAGCTTTGTATTCTCCTAGCTGATTTTGCAGTGAATTATTTAAAACTACCTGCAATTGCTCCAAAGTCCAAGCAGCAGGACTTATGGATATCTTATTCTTGTATTCTTAGGCATGTATCAGGGCATTCATATAATTAGTGCAGTTGGGAAATTCCACCACAGCCAATGGAAAATGAAGGAGCTGCATGTGGTGGCCCCAGCTCAGCAGCCAGTGTTGCTCCCTGTCCCTGACAGGCGAGCTAATGTGCCTGTAAATTCCTCCTGACAGCAAACGCATCCTGGCATCAAAAAATGACAAAACACCCAAACTATGGAAGAGTGACAGCCAAACAGCTTCAATAGCACAGAGGCTGCACTGGGAGAAAACAGGCAGAGGCAGCTTGGATTAAAGCCAAGGACTTGCTCAAAGGCTGAGTAGAAAGCACCCGTTTGCACTAACAGGAGGCAGAGACACCAGCAGAAATCTCCTTGGTTAGTGGGCTGTCCTCTAGTGAATTAAACGGGTAGGATCCCCGCTTATTAAGAGCATCCCAAGGATACCATTACCTGCAGGTGCTGTTCTGTTCAGAGATATTCCTACAAAAAGACCCTTGCATTTCTGAGGGAAGGACCAGGCCATCAGACAGAAAGGAGTCTCATCATAATTTCACTAATCACATTTTCACCTTCAGAATTGCAATCATGACCATCACCCAAATGTACATATTAGAGGCAGCTGCCTGTCAGAGAAATCACCCATATCTTCCCAAATGTAACCCATCAGAGGACCTGCACAGTGGCGAAGCCTTAATGCTCTGCTATTGCTGCAAACGGCAGGACTGGGAGGGTTTGGCCTCCTGGGCAGCTGTTGCTGATGGAATATGTGCACTGCGTCCCCATCTAGCTGCTGAACCACTGCGAAGATAAAAGCTTCAGCTTAATAAGTATCTCTTTCAACTCAGCTGAGAAAAGCTCACTCAAGTTTTGTCCTCGCTTCTCAGGATGGTTTTTGATTTCCAAAAATGCAGAGAGACCAAGAGGACGCAGCTGGCCTAGGTGGAGCACTTGTAGGTCACTCTGGTAGAATGGGGGAAAAGAGCAACACCTGGGGAGCAGGGAGGGCTGGCAGTGGTCATAAAATCTGGGTGCTTCATCAGAGGCCCTTTTTGGTGGAACATATAAACTCATATCTTGGCTGCAGTGACTGATGTCTAAACATGTGCCTCAGCATTGTGATGAGCAGAGCTGATGTGTTCACATGAGAGCCTAAGAGAACTTTTTCTCTTTTTATGCACCAGAACCACTTTAAAATCAATATGTTTATGCATCCCGCACATGTGAGGAAGGAGAGTTATCCTTCAAAAATCCACATGTTTTATCATTCAAATGTTTTCTAGGTAAGCTAGCCAAAAGCACTTTGGTGGTTTTGACCCCCTTTACACATTCCTTCACATGGAGAAGCTTATCGTTTTCCTCTTGTTGTCACTAGGCAAAATATATGATGCCAGGTGCTAATAAAAACAAACAAACAAGCAGAGGGAGAAAAGGAGAGAGAGAGAGAGAGAGAGAGCACAGAAATGTTTCTGATTTGGCATGTAACAAATGACCTGGAACCTCTTTTGTGATCATAGCAAACGGCGAGAAGACTGGGAGCGATCAATCTTCGTGCGATTAAAAGAAGGAGGCTACAGGCTGCGGGAGAACATCCTGTTCCATCTGTACGTGAGCACTTCACCCTGCGGAGATGCGCGCCTCAACTCCCCCTACGAAATCACAACCGACTGTAAGGAAAAAGCATCTTCCCTCTTCTTTTGGTGTGGGCTTTGTCTTTTTTTTTTTTTTTAAGATCAGTCTTCCTTTCTCTCTTTGTTTGCTGGCAGAAAGCATTTTGCTTGAGAGCAAAAACACTACTACGAGTTTTGGGGAGGGGGTGTGAGTGTCTGTAGAACACACCCCATCTGCTGGGGCAGCCAGGGTGTGCAGGGAAAATCAGAGCTGGGCAAGGCAGTGGGAGACTGCTCTGCACTCCTGAGGCTCAGTGGTTCTGCTAGGGAATACATCCCCAATAGCCTGCATTTCCTGCTAGGAGGTGCAACCCTAACAGTAAATAAATGCCTTTCTGTGATGAAAGAAATCCTTGAAGCCATGGCCATAGGCTGGGCTAGAGGATCGAGACTCTAGTTGGAGATGCATAGACTCTTCTCAGGGTTCACACAGTATGTGTAGTTTGAAGGGCTGCATCTACAATAAACCAGTGCTGTCCAGGCTGCAGCTGCTGGAGTAGAGTAATGAGATGGTATGATATGATAAGATGTGTTGTGATATGATGTGATACAGCACATGTGTAGTGTTGATTGATGGTCATACTCTCTCCAAATACTACCTGCACTTGCAGCAAATAATGTAAAAACCCTTATGGAAAGGATCCTTCCCAGGCCATCTTGCCTGTCAAATCAACTGCACAGTCACTGCATGGCAGATGGGCTAGTTGGAGTCCACCAGGTCAGCTTTGGAGTCCCTAGACCCATACCTATGGCATTTAAGCAAAAACACGTTTTTTCAGGGAATTTCACCTCTAGAGGTGATCCTGCAAATGAGGCAAATAAAACAAGTCTTGAGCCAGTGTGTGCCACCAACAGACCTGCAGGGCTTGTTGTCCATGAAGACACACCCCATTTCCACCACATGACCCGGCACTCTCACCTCATCGCTCCCCCAGACACGCATGTCCCTGTCATTGCCCTGCCATGGCAGAGGCATGTCCTTGTTGCATTCCCACTGCACCAGCTTTGCCCCTGCCTAGCCACAGGGAATGCCCCCAATAAGGGACAGGGGACTCCAGGGAGCTGTGGCTTTTTTATCACACATCTGTCACCCCATGATCAAATACACAAGGTGAAAGGTACACTCTTATCTCTGCCCTTAGGTATTGCTTCTCATACATGCATTTTACAGTGCTGCAAAACCCACAGTGCTGGATGCCAAATGTACACATGAGAAATAGTCCTTGCCCTGACTACCTTGAATGTGAAGCAGGCAAGAGAGAAGAAAAGATGGAGGAGGAAGCACAGGCATGGGAATGTAAAATTAGACAGAAGAATAGATGGAGGAGGAAGCACAGGCATGGGAATGTAAAATTAATCATCCAAGGTCACACAACGACCTCACCTCCTCACAGGCAAATCCATCAGATGGTGGTTTCACTCCTTTCTGAATTCGTATTTGTATAAGTTATTTATTAAGGATTAGGTATTATTCTGCCCAGACTGGAATCTTTTTTTCATATGTGAAACATGGGACAAGAAAGCAGAACTCGCCTATTCAGGAAGGAAATGCATTTCCTTGCCTAACATGATTTCTACATTCTATCAGCAGGGTTTATAAAATGAAGAAAAGCAACTAAATGCCTAAAAGGCAAAAAGCACATTGACAAATTCTTGATGAGGTAACAAAATGAGAAGACATAGCAACATCTTAAAAACAAAATTAAAAATAAAAAAGGGAGTGATTATGAATATCAAAAACCAATAGTGATTTTTGGCTTCCCACTTTATGGGTGTATCAAGAGATATCTAAAAAAGCTTTTTGTTTGGTTAAAGGCCCTCATGTTTTCCAGAAGGTAGGTTTCCTAGGTTGCTCTTTTCTTGACATCACAAGTGGAAGCACCAAAATCTGTACTTATTTTTAAAATGTGGTCCATTCTCAAGAACCTTTAAACAGCCTTCTCGTCAAAGGCTGTCCAGGCTCGATTCTGCTCGTCCATGCATGACAAAGCAGGTGCTTTGGGCAGCTGACAGCCAGTGTTGGCCATTGATAGGCAGCAGAACCCAGCCCTGCAGGTGAACGCTGCTTGACTCATGGATTGTTTCAAATAGCACATAAATCTCCCAGCTAATGAGGGAATGAGTCTTTAGATAACAATATATACAAGAAACTGTGTTTAAAAATATATACTCACCCCATACTTGACACACACAGTAAGCACTAAACTTGTATATAATCACAAAAATACTTTTTCTGTTGGTTATTACACCAACTATTGTCCTGATGCAGAAGCTGAGGCAGAAAGGGCTGTGTGGCTTAGCCAAGGTTACACAGTGATTCAGTAGTGTTACATCAGGTTTGTAATTCACTCTTTTAAGCATATCCCTCTACCTTTGTCCAGTGCTCTTAAAATAATTTACCACTGTGTAGAAAGCCATCCTGCCAAAAGCTGTCCTTCAGTGAGATAAGCATTTCGTTTTAGTTCACATTATCCCAGAGACATCTGGGAAGATAAGTATTTTATAATGTTTATCATTCAGATCTTTTCTTTTTTTTTTTTTCTAAAGAAATAACCTTTCTTTCATCCAGTAATGACAAGAAACTCCAGATGAATGCTGTTTCATTTCTTAAACAACAAAGAAGCCTCTCCTAGAGCTAGCACAGCCATCAAACGTTACTGATTATTCTCTAAAGATGCATTAACATTTAAAAACAGTGTCTCGCCATGTGGTTTCTGGTTTTGAGAAGGAATATGATAAGCCTTTATCAATATAAGAAGTGAGTAAAATCCACTTCTCAAATCTCCTTCCAAAAATTTCCTATTATCCACCGTGCCTTTCCAGCACCCTCAGGGAGGCCTCACATTTCCTTCTTATGAGCTTTGTTCTGGTAAGGGAGAGGTAAGCTAGCATGCATTTGAAACCCAGTTTACTTCTTACCAGATAGAGGAGGGTACAAAGTTAGTGGCATGTGTAAAGTCTGCCCTTCCCATGGTTCATGTGAACAGCTGCAATGCAGAAGAGAGGTCCAGGGAGCCCACGCCATGCCAGGTTCATGCAGGAAGACAGGAGATTAGGAACAAAGAGGTAAAATCTCACTTTGGTTTGCAGAGATGGCCTTCTTGGATCTGTCAGTAAGATGACTCGTTTGTTAATACCTCCTGAGGCAGCTCTAAAAGAGAGACAAAATCCAATTGGACCAGGGCTGCTATGAGCATGGAGGGGTTTTATATCTCTTTTTTGGTGCCTGCAAGTCAGGAGGTTGGAAAAAGTTACAGGGGGAACCAAGTGAAGTCAAAGCTTTGAAAGAATACACAATTTGAAAGAGTAGGGGAGAAGGTTGAGAGGAGAGGGGCAGGAGCTGGCTGGTGAGAGCAGGAGAGGAGACCAGTCAGGGTCGGTGGTGTTGCAGGAATAGGAGGCTGGGAAATGCCAGAGGAGTTTCAGACGTTTGTGAGAGTTTTTACAGGTTTGTTCTGGCTCATTCTCTCCAGTCAGTCTCCTTCCCAAGAATTTTTTCAGCATTTTCCAAGGTCAACCTCAAGGTCATAGCACAGCTATATGGCAAAAAGGCAGCATGTTCACAGTGTTCTCACACACTCAGCTTCTGCCCCTGCTTCAGTTAAGTGCTGCAGGACAGAAAGCCTGGCACATCTCCCTTTCTGGTACCTTCTCCCTTTGTGTACATCTGAGCCAGGTGTTCCTGGATTTCTGACTTCTTCCAAGGACGGTATCATGGCACCAAGTTAACACGGGTTTCCTGAAGGTTCTAAGGGGGCTGATGTTTCCCATTACAGCATACATGCTCCAGCTCATGAGGTGGAGCCCTGGGGGCAGCTAGCCCTGTAGTATTTGTTTCATATTTTACACTTTCTCCTGAATCTAGGTCAAGCCACAGAATAATCAAGCCCTTGATTTGCTAAAGCACCTTCCTAGCTAATTTAGTGGTTCTTGACTCATTGGCTTTTTTTAAGCCTCTTGAAAAGCAAAATGAATTGCTTGAAAAACTGAGCTAAAAAGCCCTCTGCTTCCCCACTCCTCCTTCTCTGGCAGGATTTTACCTCATTGTCCATCTTTTTTCTAGAGATGCACTCTCTCTTTTTCACTACATGAATTGCCAAAGAGACAAACAGAGTCTGCCCCAGGGCTTGTCTCAGTTCTTCTCCCCTGGGCTGCTTTTCTATCTCTTGCTAACATGCTGTATTGCCTTGTACCATTGACTCCTTGATAGCCCAGCTCCTGTTTTATCCCACACTCCCTTTAGGTCTGAAACACACCATTGCATCTGCTCCACATGGGGTCTTCCTCCTGCTTGTCTATTAACCTACAGCTGTGCTGAAGCTCTCATGCACACACATTTGACAGAGCTCTCATCTAAGCAGGATCCACTTGCAACCACGTGAGCCAGATCATTGCCTTAGTAGGTGATGTGATGAGATGTGCACTGCGGTTTTCAGAGAGTTGGGAAGCTGAAGAGTACCCAGGAAAACAAGTTTGTGCTCTCTATTTCAAGTGTGCTTTCACTGTGCAAACCTGTGCTTTCCCTGCTTGCGACCCGGCTGCTGGATTTTCTATTCCATTCTCAGAAAACATGCTCTCTGTTAACCCCCAAATCCAGGGCTGCCTTGAAGGGTTGCCCTGCTCACACCAGTAACTCAGCACTCTGTGTTCAGATGGGGCTGACCCAGAATTGCATCACTGTATGATCCTCAGATCAGATAACCTGAGCAGACTGGATGGACAGGGCCAGATTCAAACTGAGGCCATCTAAGCAGCCTCCAAGAGATGGACACAAATGATCTCCCACAACTGTCAGGAGACTGTCAACCCCAGAGCCCAGAATTCAGGGTCCTGTAGGCAGCTATCAGGATGGAAATACAATGGGGATGTTTATGGCAGCAACTGAGCTAGTATTATTCCCAAAACCATTGGGTTTGTTGAACATCTCTGGATTTGCAAGGGAAAGAAATCTTTGCCTTCCTTTTGTCAGTCCCATATTTTGTTTAAATGGACAAATTAT